AGGGGGGCTCCTAGGCGCCACGGCTGGATCCGCCTTGAAAGTCTAGCTAGAAAGCATCCTGGGACAGGTCCAGGAAGTGTTTCTGTCGACGGGGCCCTAACATTCTCGCGTCGTGAAAGACTCACGACAGGAGGTTTTTGGAACGTTTCGGCCGCTGGATAACTATCTTTGGGTTTGGAGGCAACTCCTGGGAGGTCTTCGCAAGAACGACTAAGACAATCCCGACGAAGTTTCCGTTGATCCGGATTAGCTCAGATTAAGCCCAGGATCAAGCTGGTTTAAGCCAAATCAAATGGGATTACATCGAGCCATATTGGGATGATGACCGATTTGGCCAGCTTCCGACCACGGATATACCAGCGCCGATGCTGAACTGAACCTCCCAGGTGTTGCCCCCTAAACTGGGAGATGCCGGTGCACATGCCGGTCACATACTTGCGAACCAGTCTGTCTTTGGTGGCGCTGTGTGAGCATCGTCTAACCGATGCCCATCCCCACGGGCGTGGCCTGGGCCACACTGGCCGATGTGTCCCCCTAGATGGGGATACATAGGCTGCTCCCTTCGAGTTCCGAGGGGCATACCCCCAACTGGGGTGGCGGGATGGTGAGGATCTGGGCGGGGACGGGGAAAGGGATGGGGATCGGTTAGACGATGCTGCCTGTGTGCTCCAAGCGGTTGGCCAGGGTCGGCCCTGCTGCTGACCTGGGTGAGGCCCCCCGGGCGTGCGCTCGCTCGCCGCCCCCTGCAGGCACCAGGGGCGGCGCCGGAGGCGCCGCCAGGGGGTCCCAGCGCCGATCCGAGGAATCCGCGCGGACCTCAGAGTTTCTACGTTTACGTCACTCCTTTGTTCCCCTAAACTGGCCATCGCTCGGACGTCCATTCCCTGTGCTTTTTTCGGTTTCGTGCGTGGCTTTTTCGCCAAATGATCAAGGATGCTCCTCGGTTGTCCTCGCCGAAGGAAAAATGCACACGTCCGAGCGATGCCAAGCCAGGGGCGGCGCCGGAGGCGGTTTGGGGTCCCAGCGCCGATCCGAGGAATCCGCGCGGACCTCGGAGTTTCTATGTTTGCGTCACTCCTTTGTGCCCCTAAACCTGGGAGATGCCGGTGCACATGCCGGTCATAATTATACTGACGAACCAGTCTGTATTTGGTGGCGCTGTGTGCTCCAATACGAGGCCGATGTGGCATCACAGCAGCAATTCGGCCCCTGACTTTCGTCCTGGGCTCGGTTTAGTGAAGTGATGAATTTCGGGGTCCTTACGTAGGAACAAAACATCACTTCACTAATCTGGGGCCCCTGGGGCCTCAGTGGGCCCTGGGGCCCAAAATTAGTGAAGTGATGGTTTTCGGGCCTCGGATCCAAGCGGTTGGCTGGGATCAGCCCTGCAGCTGACCTGGGCGAGGCCCCCCGGGGCGTGCGGTCGCTCGCCGCAGCCCCGGCCGGCACTCCCAGGAGCCGGGAGCCGAGGGAGGAGCTTGTTTTGGGGACGGAAGGGTCGGGAAGCAGAGGCGGAGGAGGACCCTGGAGTTAGGTCGGGCCTGTCCCCCCTACAGGGGGATTTTGGACGATACATATATATATATATATGTATATATATATATATATACATACATATATATATATATAACAACTATATGCCCAGAAATACTCAAACAAAAAGTCCCCAGACTATCTCATGACTACTTTCTGAACCTTCCCCCTGTAGAGGCACAGGCCCGACTTCACCCCGGAGGCCTCGTGTGAGCGTTTTCTTGTTCGGCGCTTCTACACTGGGCGGGAAGGGGGGGGGTCGGGGGTCTGGCTCTCCGGACCTCTGCTTGGTGCGACTGTGCGTCCTGTGAGGGGACCCCACCTGCCCGAAACAGGCGCCGGACACAGCCAAGATCCACTCCAGAGGGGAGGGCGGGAGGGGGGCGGGTGCGAGGGCCCGCGCCGGTCGGCAAAACAAGGGAGTTAGGTCGGGCAGGTCCTCCGACAGGCGGATTCGGGACAAAGAATGCAACATACCCCAAACCATGCTCTAACAGGTTCAACAAATAATTGAAACATCGTGTACCCAGACTATTCTTTGACCAGGAAGATTCCTCCTGTAGAGAGACACGCCCGACTTGACCCTAGAGGCCGGCCTCACACATGAGGTCCGAGTACATACAGCGGAGGCCAGTCCACAAGAAACCATCCACAAGAAAAATCCGACCCTGGGACCCCAGGCTGCCGAAGCCTGCGAAAGGCCACCGAAGGCCGCTTAGAGGCGGCCAGAGGCCACTGGAGGCCGCTGAAGGCCACTAAACGACACTGAAGGCTGCTAATGATACACCAAAGTCCGCTCAAGGCCACTAAAGGCTACTAAACCGAGGCGGTGTATGTTAGAATGAGATTCCAAAAAGACTCGGCTAACATCTGGGAGACCTATAGAGGCCAGGGTGAGGGGGGTCGAAAAGTCATTAGATCTGGGCGTTTTCGTCCGGCCTCGGGCGGGCCCATGGGACCATCACGGATCGACCTGGCTCGACAAAATGACGCACAGAGCTAAGATGTGGGGCTCCAGTCGTGATCTTTCAGGATGCTGCATGCTTCGCAACATCGGATCTCGGGGGGGCACTGGCTCAGGATGGGAAGCACCAGCCCCGAATCGGGGACACATCGCCGATGCGACAGCGAAATCACACGTTGGGCGACAGGGGGTCGACGCTCCCCCCCCCCTCGGCCCATGCCCCGCCTCTCGTTGCCCCTGACAGGAAACACCAGCCCAGCATCGTGGACACACCGCCGATGCGATAGCGACACCACACGTTGGGCGATAGGGGGTCGACGCCCCTGACCTTCCACGAGGGCTCAAAAATAGCACCAGGACCTTGACGTCTCAATTCCTGTCGAGGTTTTTTAAGCAGCTCAGATAGGTATATAGGTCTGGAGGGCTATCTTTTAGCACTCTGGAAGGTCAGGGGCTCCCCCCCCTCCTCAGCCCATCCCTCCCGCCCCTCGTTGCCCCCCCACAGGCGCAGGACGACGACGAGCTCCGAGGAGCTGGCGGCTAGCTGAGCAGACGAAAGGATCCTCGCCGCCCGGCCCCCTCGCTCGAGGCCGCAACCCCTTGCCAACAGCCCCAAAAACCCGGCCAGGGACGGCCAAAAGCCTCCCCTCGTGATTTTTGCCACGACGTGAAATTCAGAATTCGGCTTCCGATCGGGGATCTGCCGGCCCGGGTCAACCCAGACCCGGGCCGATCGGGCCTTGCAGGATCCTGCAGGATCCTGCGCTCCAAGCCCGAATCAGTGCGACCCTGGCCCTGCAGGATTCTGCAGGATCCTGCACCCAAACCCGTGTCAAATGCGACCCTGGCCCTGAAGGATCCTGCAAGATCCGGCGCTCTGGCAAACCCCCGTTTGCATTGACCCCCGTCTCAACTTGAGGCTCCCGATCCGAGAAACAACGCGGCCTTCCGACGGCCGATCGGAACGATCTGGGCCCCGCCGGAACGCGGTCGGTGAGGCATAGCTGCTGGAAGGCAGCCGCAGGCGAGAAGACCCCCAGGAGAGCACGAACACATCTCCAACCCCCGAGAAGCGTGGATGAGAGGAGGAGGCCGAGAATTGCCCAACGACCTCCCCAGACATCCGATGTCTTGACCTTGCGGTCCCCAGAAGAAGTCCTGAGCCTTTCCCCGTGGCCGGCTTTCCATCCCGGCTCGACTCTTTGACGGCCCTGGGGCCTGGCCAGGGCCCCCGCGGAGGCCAGAAGCGGCCACAGAACCCCCCCGCCGCAACCCTTGCCCGACGCCAGGATCTCAAGATCCGGGTGTGAAAAATAGATCCCCAGTCTCCTCCTCCTCCTCCTCCTCCTCCTCCTCCTCAGCCTCAGCCTCCTCCTCCTCCTCGTCCTCCCCCTCCTCCTCCTCCTCCTCCTCCTCCTCAGCCTCCTCAGCCTCCTCCTCCTTCTCCTCGTCCTCCTCCTCCTCCTCCTACTCCCTCCACCGCACGCCCCATGTCCCGAGCTTGTGGCAGGGTCATCAGCTCGTCGTTGTCGCTGTCCTCGTAATTAGTCCTCGTCGTGGTCGTCGTCGTCGTCGTCATCGTCCTTCTGGGTCGGCGGCACAAGCCGCAAGGCCTTCCCAAGAAGAAATCCCCAGACCCGTTCTCGGAGGCGCTCTGACAACACACGGCGAAGAAAGTACCAGTTGGGCGGAAAAGACAGGTCTTACGCGAGATGACGCAGCGACCTTGCGCGGTGGCTGACGCGGGCCGCCGGCGCGGAACGCTACGCTGGAAGCGAGGGTGCTTACGCGCGACCTTCCGCGGGCAGCTTACGCGCCAGCGTCGGCAAAGACGACGCCGTTTTTTTTTTTGCGTCGCCCAGTTACGTCCTCCGACATCGAGGCCAAAAATTGCCGAAAACCTATCGCTCTGTTTTGCGACGGCGCGTCCTTTCAGACGAGGTGCAGTCCTTTGGCGAGGCCGGGCGGTGCGTCACAAGATCTGCTTCTCCCCCGGGCCACAAAAACTTGGGCCCTGCGGCGGCCGCTCGGGACGATCTGGGCGCCCCCGGAGAGCTCTCGACGAGGCGCCGCTGCTGCAGAGCGCCCCGAGGCTGGAGAACCTCTGGTAGGGGGCCAGATGCGAACCCTATCCCTACCCCTCACGATTTCTGAGCGGGAGGGTGGGGTTCACTTCGTTCGGGAGCTCCCGAGTGAAGTGAACCCCACCCTCCCCCCCAGAAATCGTGGGGGGCAGGGGTAGGGCTCGCATCTGGCCCCCTATCTGGGAGCCGACGAGGCGCCCAAGAGCCTCACACCCCGCACGCCCGAATGCCTGCCGTCGGCATCCTTTTTCGACGCCGCGCCCCTCAAAGACGGGGTGCCGCCCTCGTGCGGGGAGGAGGAGGAGGAGGAGGAGGAGGAGGAGGCGGAGGAGGCGGAGGAGGCGGAGGACGCGGAGGAGGAGGAGGAGGAGGAGGAGGAGGAGGAGGAGGAGGAGGGAGAGGAGGATGAGGAGGGAGGTGGAGGAGGAGGAGGACGAGGAGGAGGAGGAGGAGGACGAGGAGGAGGGAGGAGGAGGAGGAGGGCCGCGCGGCGCGTCACGAGGCGCCGCCCCCCTCGCAGCTCTCCTCCACGCACCGGGGGCACCGGCAGAGGAAGCCGTGGTGCTGCAGCAGGTGCTCACGGCGCTCCGAGACGCCCTGCGGTTCGAGAGGCGCACGAAGCAACGTACAGTCGGGGCGTCGACCTTAAGGAACCCTGAAAAGGGAACGAGGCCCCTTTTTTCCAGAAGTTGAACCTCGAGTGCCTGTCGAAAACATAAGGAAAGCCTGAGGCAAGCTGCGAAACACTCAAGGAACGCGGAGCCCCTCCCCAACGAGGAGGGTTCATTCTTCAGGGCCCCGACTGTATGCGCCAGACGGTGGGATGTCTTTCATCCTGCGGCTTTGCCTCGACGTCGGCCTCAAGGCCCGTGACAGGGCCCGGTGGCCATCAAGATTGGGTCCGGGACGACAAACGACCCCTGGGGAAGGGGTCGGAAGCTCCAGGGCCGCGGATGGTTGAGCAAAAAAAGGCCACACCTGAGTAAACATCATAAGCTTTCGGGAGTCCGCCCTGTCCGGAGGAACAAGAAGCGGCATACCGGCATACCCTGACATCTTCGAGTCAGAAACAAAAAAAAACACGACTGGCAGTGTTCTGCCATGCTCGGCGTCCTGGGGCCCTTCCTGGGTCCTGGCCTGGGGCCGTCCCCAAAAACGACTCGGAATGAGAGGCGGGTCCCTGGGAACGGGTCGAGACCTCCAGCGGCTCACGATGTGCAAGAGCCCCGCGCGCACGTCTGGAGTCGCCCATTAGACCCCCCTCCCGGGCGCTCGGACGGGGCGGCGCCGAAGCCCGCCGCCAGGGTGGGTCCAGCGCCGACCCGAGAATCAGGTCGGGCCTGTCCCCCCCCACAGGCGGATCTTGGAGGAAAAATAAGAGAAATGCCCCAAACATTGCCAAACTAGTTTTTTTCCTTATGCAGAAAAAATCGTCCCCGGACTGTTCTTGAACTGCTCTTGAAGATCCTCCCTGTAGAGGGACCTGCCCGACTTCACCCGAGCAACCTGCGCGAACCTCCGAAAGCTGACGTGCACACGGGGCGCGCGGAGCGCGCCGGGGGCGGGGGCTGGGGGCGCCGCCCCCGGTGGGCCCGGCACCGACCCGGGCAGCCCGCGCGGACCTCCGACAGCTGATGCGCACAGGGGGGGCTGCTCAGCGACGACGGCGACGACGACGACGACGACGACGACGACGACGACGACGACGACGACGACAAGGACGACGACGACGACGACGACGTCCTCGTCCTCGTCGTCGCCGTCAAGGAGAAGCTCAGCCGTGGCCCCCTGCCGCGCCCCCCGAACGCGGCGCACTGAAGACCGCTGAGGCGAAGGGGCTGCTCGGAGCCACTTGCTGCCCTGACGTCCGCTGGCACGGCTCTGCTCAATCCGCGGCCCCAGGATCAGGGCGACAAGGTCTATACCCAGAGATCCAACGTATTGAAAAAATCAAGACGGAGGTGTTTCGCCCTTTCTGCCTCTAGGAGCCCTCGCCGGTCCCCAGGACCGTCAAAAAACGACTCAGGATGAAAAACCGGTCCCGTGGAAGGGGTCGGGACCTCCAGGGACCCCGCGTTGAAAAAATCACGACATCGGATCTCTGGGTACAGATCCACTGCTCCCTGGCCAGGCCCAGCCTGAACCCAGCAGCGGTGTGTACGCCACGCCCTCCTGGCTCGGCCAGGAGGGCGTATACGCAGCTAGCGGGTTCAGGATGGGCCAGGCCGGGGAGCCGAGGATGTGTATAGATCCCGCCGCCAGAAAGAAGTCCCGACCGCTTCCCTAGGCTTAGCGCTGCGTCGGGCCCCCAAACTGGCCCCTGACGGTTCTGGGCCGCGATAAGCGGGGGGGCGGTAAAATGGGGAGCAGCGAGAGCTGCAGAACAGGAGGGCCCCTGAAAGGACCTTCTCGGGCCCAGAGAATGGCCTGCAAGGGCCCGACAGGTGCACCTTTCCCCCCCCATTTGTCGCCCCCCCATTCAGCGACGCCCAACGGCTGAAATCGGAGAGAAGCGCAGGGCTTACGAAACCAGATCGTCGGAGGGTCGACCTGGCGAAGGCCCCACTCTTGCGTGCAGCCGGCCTTCGTGAGCAGCTCGGGCGTCGCGTAGTTGTCGGAGAGGGCCTCCCCGGGCGCCAGGTCGCGCAGCGCGCGCACCACGCAGCGCCCGTCCCCCTGCACGAGCGACCCGGGGGACAGCGGGCTCCACTGGCACCTGGCCTCCACGGAGGGCTGGCACGAGTGGTTCACCCTCGCGAGCCACCTGAGCTGAGGCGCAGGGGGACGTGCCAAGTGCTGTGCGCCCCCCCTCGGAGGCGCAAGTCGAAATCGAACATACAGCACGAACGTGCTGTAGTGTGTCGACTGTCGCTGGACACAGGCGGGATGGCCAGAAAGCGGGCCCCCGGACATTCACTATGATGTGTCTGAGCGCTCGGCGCCCCCTAGGGGGGCGGACGCACACGTAGGTCAAAGTGCCATAGCCCTCGGTTGCGGATAAGAGTAAGCAGGCGGCGGGCCGCTGGCAGTCTGAGAGGCTCGCCGCAGGCGCCGATGCTGTACACATTGCACAGAGAGACCGCCGAAAGTGCTGGCGTTTTTCGTAAATAACCAAGGTAGGTTGGTCGCGGGCAGGCCGTCGCGGGCGATGCGGGTGTGTCGCCAGTGGGTCGCAGGCGGGTCGCAGGCGGGTCGCGGGTGAGTCGCGGGCGAGTCGCGGGCGAGGGCGGCAACAAACAACACACATCAAACCACAACGATAATCATCACCGCGGCAACCCACTTTCGGGCACGCGGCGAGGGATGGTGCTGAGACCTTCGCTCTGCTGATCGGGTGATGCCGAAGCCTGAGAGGCGGGAGGCAAACAGCCGCGCGTGCGAAGGCGGGCTCCGGCGAGCTGGCCCGGAAGGCGCTCCGGAGCGCATCGCGGCTGAGGCCGAAGGCACAGCTGGAGTGCTCAGGAAGGGGCAGGGCCCATCGCGCAGGCTCGGTTGCTCCAAATCCCTTATTAATCGTCCCCCAGGTACGGCTTTTTGCGAGGCGCCTTTTTTGTAACTGGGGGGGTCCAGTTTGTTAGGGCGCTTTCTTTGGATTGCAGCTTAGGGGGTCCGGTTTATCAAAGCGCCCCGTCGAAGAGGGGGTCCGGAATATTAGGTCGCATTTGGAGGGAGGTCCGGTTTTTTAGGGGGGGGTCGATTGATAACGGACTTGGATCATCTGGATCTATCCGGATGTTTGTCGATCTACCTGGATCTACCTGGGTTTATATTGATTTATCTGCACCTACCTGGATTTATCTGGCTTGATCCCCACAAGTCGGGGGGGGGTCGATTGAGAAGGGACTTGGAGTAACAGCACATCGTTTCGGGCACGCGCTGGCGTGAGGCAGGGGTCCGTGGCTCTGCCGCGCGGGCGCCTGCTCCACAGATCGGGGGAGGTACCCCTGAAGGGGCCCTGGGACACACAAATAAATACACACAAATAAAAGTATTCCCTGTATTTTCCGATATTTTCTTAGTTTTTGTCCTCGCCCCCACTTCCAATATTTTCCCATATTTTCTTGGTTTTTGTCCTCGCCCCCACTTCCAATATTTTCCCATATTTCCTGGGGAATCGAGGATTCATTGTGTCTGTGTATTTTTTCCCCTCCTGACCCCCCCCGAAACATGGCGCCCGTGCTGCCTCAGTTGGCGACGGTGCGCGGCGCCTTCGTCTGGGGACGGAGCACGTCGCCAATCCACGCGCCGTAGCTTCAGGAGGGACAAAAAACACACAGACACAATGAATCTTCGATCCCCCCGAAAATCTGGGAAAATATGGGAAGTGGGGGGGAATACAAAAACCCAGAAAAGATGGGAAAGTATGGGGAACATCTTTATTTGTGTATTTATTTGTGTCCCAGGGCCCCTTCATAGTTCGACTGCACGCAGGAGCGACCGGAGGCAAGAGAGTGGCCTCCGGTGCGCGGCCTCAAGAGACCGCGAAGGGTCCAGAGCCAGGCGCGCGGGCCGGTGCTGGGGCCACCCCCGTGGGCCCGCACCGAGGGTCACTCTGGCGAAAGGTCACTCTGGCGCGTAGCCGGTCAATCCATGGTCGCGCTTCCTCTTCGGGTGACCCAGAAAAGGGGTCCAACTGAAAGGGGGTGGTGCCATAGATTTGGAGCAACCGTATTGCCTTGGATTGCCAATAGTGCATTGCACGCGAAACTCCAGCAATACATTTGGGCCCCGGAACGTAGTGCACCCCAAATGTCTTGCAATCCCACAAATCAATTGCACCAATGAGTATCGTTTAGCCGATCCCTATCCCCACTCGCGCGGCCTGGGCCCTACTGGCCGGTTTACCCCCCTAGATGGGAATATAGGCAGTTTATGTCAGATTTCGACGGGTATATCCACACCTGGGGGGATGAGATGGTGGGGGTCTGGATGGGGATGGGGATGGGGATCGGGATCGGTCAAACGATACTGAACCAAATATATTGCACCACCCCCTTGTCGCTGGACCCCCTTTTGGGTCAACCCGATTCCTCGAGCATCGTTGGGCGGTGCTGAAGCCTCCCCTGGGCACGGTCCCCCCCCCCCGGGAGCAGCAGCCCCAGACGAGCAGAGCTTGCACCGCCACGTCTTGCTACATTCTGGGCGCGTTTTCCTCATCTCCTCCTCCTCCTCCTCCTCCTCCGCCGCCTGAGCAGCAGACGAAGACAGGGGGGTCCCAGCTCGCATCCCTAGCCCTAAGATCAACAAGCGCAAGGCGATGACAGCCTCAGGCGTGTGCCTTCAGAAACTGAGGGAATCCTCGAGATCGGCACCGAGATATGGAAATTCCAGTCACAGGGATAGGGATATGTTTCAGGCTGGTAATATGCGGTGGCCTGCAGGCATCGTGCTGCCATGAAGAGCGACGAATGAGGGACGACGAGGGGCGTCAATGGCCACGGCGAGCCTCGGCCACGACTGGGTTCGCCGAGATGGGTCCAGACGGACCGCAAACGCGGCAAAGGACGCTCACGCGCGAACTGACGCAGGCAGCTAACCCGCGAATGACCGCGCAGCCAGCACCGTTTTGGCAAGCCGCTCACCTGAACAGGCCGTACGCCGCATTCGGACCGGCTCGCAGGTAGTGGCGGTTCGTCTCCCACCTCAGCAGAGTGGACGTGATGGACGCCACCTGCCTGGTCGAGTACCCTGGGTCCAGCGCAATTCTCTGCAGGCACTCTGGGTCGCTCATTGCCCCCTCCTTTCGAGGAAGACAGAGAGGCATAAACATCAAATAGCGGAGGTCCGCGCGGGACTCTTGGATCTGCGCTGCAAGCCCCCTCCCTGGCGCGCGCGGAACACGCCAGGGGGGCGGAGCCGCCGACACCGAGGGAAGAGGAGGAGAAGGGTGGGGGGAAGGAAGGAGGAGGAGGAGGAGGAGGAGGAGGAGGAAGAGGTGGAGGAGGAGAAGGAGGAGGAGGAGGAGAAGGAGGAGGAGGAGGAGGAGGAGGTGGAAACGGAGGAGAAGGGGGGAGGAGGCAGGAGGAGGAGGACGAGCAGGAAACCGCGGAGGATGAGGAGGAGGCCTGTCTTGGATCGTTATGTTGCCCCGGCATCCAGGGGGGACCTCCGAAAGGTGATGTGCACCGGGGGCTCAGCGAAGCTCGGGCGCGCCCCCCACCCCACCCTGGTCTGGGAACCCAGCGAGGGCACTCAGAGGCCCCAAACAGCAACAACAAAAAAGCTCGTCACGGTAGATCAGTTGAGCATCATTTAACCGACCCCTATCCCCATAGGCGTGGCCTGGGCCCCACTGGCCGATTTGCCCCCCTCGATGGGGATATATGCAGACTTCCTCCGTCGGGCTTCGAGAGGCATTATCCCCGACTGGGGTGCTGAGATGGTGAGGGTGTGGATAAGGCTGGGGATGGGGATAGGGGTCGGTTAAACGAGACTGCTTTGTTTGTGCTTAGTCTGTTCCACTGGAGAAACCAAAAGAAGGTACCGATGCCGCTGCTCCCCGGACCTCTCCCAGGGTGCGTTGTGACCAGGACTTCGAGGCGCATCCGACGGTGGCGACGAAGGCCTCCAAGGAGGCTGGAAAAGGGGAAGACGAGGGACATGCAGCGGTACATGGGTACTTTCTCCTCCTCCGATCCACGAGTCCTTGAAGATCTCCGCGGCGGCCGCCTCCACCCGCGCGCGCGCCGCCTCCGGGAGCCCGCCGCCCTCGCCGAGGTCCGCGAACGCCTCCATGGCCTGCTGCATGGTGCTGTCGCCGCTCGCTGGCGGCGCGCACACAGCCCAGGGATCCCACGCTCCGAAAATCGGCGGCGAGCGGGGGGGGGGAATTGAGAAGGAGAAGGCCTTCTCAGAAGGCGGCGGGACATCTCAGCAGGCCAGGAGACTCCCGAGCATTCTGAAAAGGCCCGCCCCTTCTCACTTCCCTGGGCTCGCCGACGAGAAAAAATTGGAGCGCTGGGTTTAGACCCATTTTCGGCCTCCGGAGGCCCTCAACGGGCCTCGGAACCGTCGAAAAACGACTCAGGACGAAGAACCGGCCCCCGGGAGGTGGCCCAGACCGCTCGGGGCCCACGCATCGAAAACACTGGAGCGCCGGATGTCTGGGGGGGGTGGCGCGCGGGGGGCGGCTTAAGAAGGCAGGGGCGCTCCAAAGAGTCGAATCATTGCTTATATGGGAGCGCTAAGATCGGGATCCACCACAGGGGGGGGGGGACCCTGAGGGGGGTGGGCATGAGTTCGATTCGCTCGTGTACCGAACCGCCGCAAACAGATGCCCCCTGCATGCCCCAACCATCGGCAACTAGTTATCGGGAACTGCCGGCGGCAAGGGCTTCTGCTCTGGGCGGTACGGTGCAAAAGACGATCGAACTCTCTCTCTCTCTCTCTCTCTCTCACACACACCGGGGCACACACACACACACACACACTTTTGATCCGCGGGTCGAGAGCGCACCTCTTCCGGTCGAAGCTAAGCGGGCCGCGCACAACACACACACACGCACACACACTGCTGCGGGATCCCGGTAGGAGCGGGGTGAAGAAGCGCGCGCCTCTCGCGCACCTTCCGGGCCGGCGGCGGCAGTTTCAGGGCGGCTTGGAGTGAACAGGCAGGGCCGCTCTGAATGGAATCTTCTCGGCCCCATCCCCTCGTGTGCTGCCCCCTCGCTGCCGCCGGCCCGGACCGCGTTTCGCGTTTGCTCATGTTCGGCCAGGACAGGCGTCACGGGGGGGGGGCGAGGGGGGGGTATGACGTAACGTCCCCCCCCCCGCCGTGTGGATCCGGCACCGGAGCCGCGCCCGCGCGCGCGACGCGACGAGCGACGAGCGACGAGCGACGAGCGACGACGACCACGACGCGAGCAGCACGTAGGTGGCGATATGCCCCACTACGCCTGTGTACACCACAACGCTCGCGTGCACCACAACGCGCGTGTATACCACAGCGCCTGCGCACACCGCTACAACCGTGTGCAACGCAGCGCCTGTGTACACCACAATGCTTGCGTACACTACAACGCTGGTGTGCATGTGCACACCGCAACTACCATGTGCAACACAGCGCCTGTGTACAACACGCTGTTTGCGTGCACCGCAACGCCTGTGCACGCCACAGCGCGCGTTTACACCACAGCATCCGCGTGCAACGCATCGCTGGTGTACACTTCAATGCCTGCGTGCATAGGACAGGCAAAAGGAGCATTTACGTGAGGATCTGCTGCGGACAACTAGACGCCACGCCAGGAAAGTGCTGAGAATTGAATGCGACGTTTTTCCCTCCTCCCTCCTCCTCCACCTCCACCACCTCCTCCTCCTCTTCCTCCTCCTCCTTTTCCTCCTCCTCCTCCTCGTCCTCCTCTTCCTCCTCCTCCTCCTCCTCCTCCTCCTCCTCCTCCTCCTCCTCCTCCTCCTCCTCCTCCTCCTCCTTACCTCCTGTCGCGCGGTCTGGCGCGACAACGCACGTGCGCACCCCAGCGCGCACCGCAGAATGGTAGATTGAATCGGTCCACTTGGTTCTCGGACGGCCAATTTAGCTGGAGCCTCCTGGACGCAAATGGGAGGAGTTAGGGTGATGCGGGCGGATTCGGGAAGACTCGTAGATTCCAGCGGCGCTCCGTTGTCCATAAAGATGATTTTCTATGATGTGCGGAATCCACAACCGCTTTATTTTGTCATAAGGATTCGTTAAACATTCTATATATAACAGTGGTGCTGGGTTGCACACGGCTGCTGTGGTGCACACGGGCGCCGTGGTGCACACAGACATTGCAATGCACCCAGGCATTGTGCTGTACACTGGTGCTGTGTTGCACACGGCCCATGTGGTGTACGCAAGCGCTGTGGTGTGCACATGGGCTGTTGTGCCCGCAGGCACGGTGGCACAAACTGACGCTGTGGTGCACGCGGCAGCTGTGGTGTACATGGGTGGTGTGGTGTACACAGGCACTGTGGTGCACGCAAGCAATGTGGTGTACCTGGGCGTTGTGGTGCAAATCGCCACCTACATGCTGGCGCTACCCGTCCTCCGTCATTCATAAGCATTCCCAGACGCAGCCGGCGCGAAACGCGACGACATCGACCCCCTTCCACCCCCCCCTTGATGATTGCCGTCATCGGCACAGAATAAAAAAACAGGTTTCAGCCGCGTCCGCGCGTCGTGAGCGACGAGCGACAAGCCACGATCGACGACGACGACGACGACGACGACGACGACGACGACGACGACGACGACGACGACGACGACGACGACGACGACGACGACGACGACTGCGAACCAGACTCCTATGCGGATTCCTACGCGGACACCTACGCGGATCCCAAAACGCACGGCGGCAGTGCCCGGAGCGCTCTGGGGGGGGAGCGTTACGTCATAGGGGGGGGGGAGGGAGCGGGGGCCATGACGCCCGTCATGCCCCAAGCAAACAGAAACGGGCTCACGAAAGAACGCAGGGGGGGGCTTCTGAAGAGCCCGCCCGTCTACTGAGAGGCCCTCGAGAGCCTCGAGGCAGTAAAACGTGGTTTAGTGAAAACGACCTGAGGCCCAAACCTGGCGGGCGCAAGCCTGGAAAATAACGGCCACGGCGCCGTCTCGAGAACCGAAAACGGACAATTCACTAATCGACTTGTCACTATTGGGGGTTCTGTCCACCCCCGACCTAAGGACCTGCTGGAAGGAGAGCCCCGGCCTTCTCAGAAGGCCGCCCCCTCCCCCGCGCCAACCCCTCTGCACGCGCCGCCACCCTCGCGTTGCCCATCATGAAGAAGTGGGCGCGGCACATCTCGCTCGTGTCGTCCGCGGCAAGCAGGAAGGGCGCCTGCGCGGGGACTGCATGGGACAAAGAGGCATCCACACCGCCACTCCCAGGACCTCTCCCGGGGGCGCGCTCTGACCAGGACCCCGAGGCGAATCCGGCCGTGGCAACGAGGGCCTGCCAGGAGGCTCCACAAGGCGAAAACTCGGCAATGATGGCGGTAGCGGTACCTTTTCCTCTTCGGAGCCTCCTCGAAGACGACGTCGCCCTCGCGGATCGGCAGCCGCACCTCCAGGCCGCGGCCCCGCTCGTCTTGGCTGTCGACGCAGCGCACGGTCCGCTCGAAGCCGTCGGCTGCGGTGATGCTGCTGGGCAGCACGCAGTAGCCGAAGCGGAGGTGCTCGTCCGAGACCCGGCCAAGCTGCCCCTTGATTAAGAGGCAACTCCTGGGAGGTCTTCGTGGGAACGAGTGAGGGCTATCCCGACCTTCCAGGAGGACTAACAAAAAGCCTCAGGACCTCGACATCTAAATCCCAGTCGAGCTTTTAATCAGTCGAGATAAGTCTATGGGTCTGGAGGGCACGTATTAGCCTGGAGTGTAAATGTTTAGCACTATGGAAGGTCAAGGTATGAAGTCCGATTGAAAGGACCATTCAACAGGATTTGGCCATATTACAAGCCCGTGATCAAGCCGGATTAAGCAAAAGCAAACGGGATCTGGCGCAATTGAACGGGATTGTGTCGGATCAGTCCAGTTTTCGGCCAAGGATGTAGCAGCGCCGATGCTGAATTTCATCTCACAGGGGTTGCATCCCAGCCTTGAATCTGGGGTGCAGCATCCGCACGGTGAACATCCCCCGCTGCGCGTCGTACCCCTGGACGACGCACGGCTCGTCGAAGATGTCGTAGCTGTCCGGCACCCCGTGGATGTACACCACGCTCCCGACATGGTAGCGCTCGGAGTTGCCGTGCAGCCACCCCTCGGGGCCAGCGACGCCGACATGACGGCTCTGGGAGGCGCGTGTTAGGTCGGGCATGTCCTCCTACAGGCGGATCTTGGACGACAAATGTATATATATATATATATATAAAAAAGAAACCTAAAAATATCCCAGAATAGTCAAAACATAAGCGAAAAATCGTCCCAAAACTATGGTTTGACTATGTTTGATTTTTCCTCCTGTAGAGGGACAGGCCCGACTTAAGGCTCGTGAGGGGCGTCCATCCCCGACCTCCCTGAACTCACCCTGCAGACCTGCAGACCTGTCTGGACTGCCCAAAACCTCGACCAGAGCTTAGACGTCAAGGCCCTGGTGCTGTTGCTTGCCCTCCTGGATAGTCAGGGATTGACCCCCCGCGGGTCCCGGCCAGGTTTAAGTCGGGCGTGTCCCACTACAGGGGCATTTTGGACGAAGAATAAACAGTAGCAAAAAAATGCTCAAACAAAAATCCCAAGAGTACTTAAAATATAGTCCCCATATTATGTTCGACAATGTTGCACTATTCCTTCTAGTAGAGGGACACGCCCGACTTCAGGCCAGGCCCATCCTGGAGATCAGGGGCGGTGCCCACGCTCTTCTGTCATGGCCAGGGAGGCACGCCGACATCGCGATCCGTCCCAAGGCTCGTGAGGGGCGTCCATCCCCGACCTCCCTGAACTCACCCTGCAGACCTGCAGACCTGTCTGGACTGCCCAAAACCTCGACCAGAGCTTAGACGTCAAGGTCCTGGTGCTGTTGGTTGCCCTCCTGGATAGTCAGGGATTGACCCCCCGCGGGTCCCGGCCAGGTTTAAGTCGGGCGTGTCCCCCTACAGGGGGATTTTGGACGAAGAATAAACAATAGCAAAAAAATGCTCAAACAAAAATCCCAAGGGTACTTAAAATATAGTCCCCATATTATGTTCGACAATGTTGCACTATTCCTTCTAGTAGAGGGACACGCCCGACTTCAGGCCAGGCCCATCCTGGAGCTCAGGGGCGGTGCCCACGCTCTTCTGTCATGGCCAGGGAGGCACGCCGACATCGCGATCCGTCCCACGCTCCCCAGACCTTCTGGTGCATCTTCGGTCGGGCGTTGACATGACATGAACTACGAGGCGAGAATCAGCGCCACGGTACTGGACCCACGGTGAGCTCATTCCTCTGTGGGTGCAGGCCCTTGCAAATACGGTTGAACCACCATCTTTGCCTGGGAGTGGGCTGGCCGCATTCCTTAGCCAAGCCTCGAACATGGCTAAGGGCGGCAGAACTGGGTTTCATGGAACCTGGTTTAATGATGTGTACTGGGGGACGCCCCCCCCGACCCGTTCCACTAACCGGAATTGCCGCCACAAGAAAAAAACACCAGCTACGGCAGACCCGGTTCAGTGATTCTGGCCAGTTTACAGGCTCCGGTGCCCTACTACAAACTGGGTCCCCTTGGGAAGCTGGCTATACCCGATTCGGGAGACCTTGTCTGCCCCGTCGTGCCCCTATCCGTGCCGAATCCATGTCGGACTCGCCGAGTCCGTGTCGGATCCACGCCGAGTCAGCGTCGGATCTCCGCCGAACCCGCGCTGAGCCCGCATCGAGCCCGCGCCGGGGACAGGAAACGACACCAGTCTCGGGAACAGACGAGGCCCCCCGAAGATGCATCGTGACTGCCTCACGAGCCCCAGGCCCGGATCCTCACATGCCAGTCTCACCCTCGACGCCGATCTCAAGAAAACCCTCCGATTCTAGGGGCCCACCCCCGAGATTGTCCCCATAACAGCCCCCGATAGGAGCTGTTCCATCCGCGGCCCCAGAGCTCCCGACCCCTTCCAAAGGGGGCAGTTTCTTGCAAACTGGGTCCCTTGCTGCTGGACCTGGGGGGCCCGATGACGGGCCCCAGAGGCCGAGATCAAAAAAAAAAACCCAAGATTGAAAAAACATGGCATCGTCGGAGATCCTGGAGGTCATCGCCTCGGGCTGGAATTCAATCCTGGAGATCCTGGAGATCAATCCTGGAGATCACTCCTGGAGATCGGAGGTCCTGGAGATCCTGGAGGTCACTCCTGGAAGTAGGGGCACGAGCTCGAGGCTGGCGGGATGGGGCCGCCTCGGAGCTCGCGCCCGCGCTGCCGCCCGCCTCGGGGCGTCCGGGAGGGGGGCGTGGAGGAAGGGGGGGATTCGCAACTCGTGGCCCGAGGCACGGTGTGGTGCTCCGTCCTCGGCGGGCCTGTCCCTGACTACCTACCAGACCACCCCAACCCAACCCGAAGACCCGAATTTCGGGTTGGGGGGGGGTAAGGGTTCCACATGAGTTTGTTCGATGTTTCCCGACCCCCCCCCAAAGGAAATCGAGGGAAAATCTGAGCCTTCGGGTTGGGTTGGGGTGGTTTGGTGGGTGGTGAGTCCCGTCGCGACCTGATCCGCGTCGATTCCGTGTCGAATCCGTGTCGGAGCTGCGCCGCATCCATGTCGAATCCCCGTCGTGTCCTGGCCGACTGCAGGGCGAATCCGCGCCGATCACGCGTCGGATGTCAGCAAAAACCGCAAAGTACAGGACAAGTGAGGCCCCCCGAAGACGCAACGCATTATGTGCGAGACCGGGTGGGGACCGGGGAGCTGAGTATCGTTGAACCGATCTCCATCCCCAGCGGCGTGGCCTGGGCCCCACTGGACGATTTACCCACCTAGACGGGGATATAGGTCGTTCTCTGCGGGATTCGAAGGGTGTATCCCCAACTGGGGTGGTCATTTGGTGGGGGTCTCGAAGGGGATGAGGATGGGGATGGGGGTCGGATAAACGATACTGAGTCTTGAAAGAATAGCTGGGAGACTGCAGTGCCCCGGCCATGACAGCCGCACACACAAACAAACATCCCTTTGCCCTATTGGCACCTACTCCCGCTCGGCCACCCTGCAGGGCAATGGCGACCCAATCCGGCCCTTTTTCCATCCTACCTGCGAAGAAGCAATGCGAAGTTTACACTTCTCGTCTCGATATGTTAAGAGGCAACTACTGGGAGGCCTTTGTCGGAAGGAATAAAAAGGGATTGGGCCGCATTGGGGGGCTGTTACGCCGGAATGGGCCTCGGATTAAGCGGGATTAAGACGGATGAAGCGGGACTAAGCCGGATTGAGCCGGACTGCGCCGAATTAAGCCGGCTCGCGGACCAGGGCAAAATCAGAATTGGGCCTCCCAGGAGCTGCATCCAAAAACATGTGCATCCATGCTGTACGATGCGTGGCAGGACTAGGACGGCGGGGGGCACATCCCGCGCGCAAGGCCGAAATATGTCGCTCTCGCATCATCGGCGCCGCTCCCGCTCTCGGGCGCGGCACGTATTATTTGCTCCACGCCCTCGTTCGTCGACGCGCGAGCCTGCGAAAACGCCCCGCTGTCCTCGGCGCCCGCGCAGCTTCCGATTGACATTGGCGCTGCCGCCTCGACGCGTCGCAGATTTGCCACTGGCCACGTCTGGGTGGGCCCGCGAGGGGGCGACTCGTCGCCCTGGCCCGAATTCCGTGCGCACGTGGCTCGGAAGCGGCGCTCCGGCGCGGGCGCGGCGCCTGGCTCCTTCGCCGACGCGCGAGGGAGACAGCAGCAGCGGGGCCGCGCGAGAGCGGGCGAAGCACCGAGCTCGCTCAAAGGCCACGCAGCTTGTGGACGGAAGCGGCAGTGCTGTGTCAGCGCGGCGCTCCGTCTTCGCCACGCCCAGCGGGAGCTTGACAGCTCCCGCCCCTGTGCGGCCCGCGCCAGTGCTTCCTCTTCGACTGGTCGTTGGAAGCGAGCCCCTTCCGTCTGCGAGGTGGGAGCGCGTCCGAATCCAAGTATCCAGTTGTGGCCCCATTAATTTTAGGTCGGGCATGTCCCCCTGCAGGCGGATTTTGGACGAAAAACGAAAAACAGTCAAACAAACATTCAAAATTTCTCAAAAAGAGTCAACAAAAATCGTCCCCATACTATTCCTGGACTAATTTTGAACATTCCCCCGGCAGACACGCCCGACTCAACATTCACTCTGACGGCAGCTCCGCGCGGCGTCGACGCGCGCAAAAGTCAAGGCTGAATTCCAGCCGGTCCAGCGGCGTCACCGTGTCCCTCGGTGCTTCCGCGTCGCAGAATCCCACCAGCCCTTTGGGCGTGAGTGGTTTAGAGAGCCCGCTCTGTCCTCGACCCCCCTTCTTCCCCCTCGGGGAGGGGTTTACCCCTCCCCCTACCCCCTCCGCCTGGACCTGGAGAGGGCGGGCCGAGCGTCGCCAGGGGGGTCTTTTTCCACTCCTGGGAGGGCTAAAAAACGACGACCCTCACGAGGATTCTGGCCCCGACGGGGGGACACCAATTCAACCCTGAACGCCTTCGGCTGCGTCGCCGGCGCGCCACCGCCGCACGAGTCTGCCGCAATGTTGCTGCGGGGGGGGGAAGTGGGCGCAGACGGGGGGCCCTCTGACTCGCTCGACCCGGCTACGTAGCTCGGCTCGACCCCCCGGCCCTGCTCCTCTCCCCCCCCTCCTAGGTAGGAGCAAGAGAAGGCGACACCAACACCAACAGGGCGAGGAGATGCGAGGAGGCAAGGGGGAACTCCCTGGTGAAGTGGTCCCCCCCTCTCGCTCGAGACATCCCCAGCCTCCAGCTCGGAGAGGCATCGGGGACCTCCTCGCTGGCGGTGGGCCCCCTGGTGGTGTTGGTATCGCTTCTCCTCCCTCCGACCTAGGGACGCCGGGGGGGCCATGACTCAGGTCGGGCATGTCCTCCTACAGGGTGCTTTTGGACGAAAACTCAAAGGTAGCCCACAAAGATTCAAACGTGGCCAAAAAAGGATTCAAAAAAGTCCCGGACTATGTTTGACTATTCTTGAATATTCCTCCTGTAGAGGGACACGCCCGATTTAAGGCTGTGCCCCGAGAAAGCCCTCGGCGAGGCGGAGCTGCTGCAGAGCACCCCGAGGCGAGAAGCCCTCCAGGAGCCGACGAAAAAGCAGTCCTCTCCCCCTCTCCCTTCGACGACGGCGC